CACCACCACCACCACCACCACCAACAACAACAACAACACCTTCACCACCACCACGAACAACAACAACAACAACAAACCTGCAACATATTCCGGAGGTTTGCAACAGCTGCCGTGGCCTCAGTCACGTGAGAACAGGTCCCTCCCAGCGCCAAAATTGAGGTCCTGTTTGGGTTGTACACTTCCTTGTAAAAGGCGTCCAGACCTTGGGCTTGTGAGCACTGGGTGATAGAAAGAAAGAAATGAATCAGAGAAGGAAAAGAAAGAAAAAACTTTTTGAAAAAGAAAAAAAAGAAAAGAAAGAATCAAAGAAAAATTAAAAGAAAGAAACGAAAGAAGAGGGAGAAAAGCAAGAATGAATGGAAGAAAGAAAGAACATTTCCTTATAAAATAAAGCGTCTAGTCCCTGGGCTTGCAAGTCTTGGATGGTAGAAAGAAAGAAATGAATGAAATGAAGAAAAGAAAGAAAAATGAATAAAACAAACAAAGACAAAAAAGAAAAAAGAAAGAAAGAATGGTAAACTGAAAAAAGAAAGAAAAGAAAGAAAAAAAAGAAAAGGAAAAATGAAAGAAAGAAAGAAAGAAAGAACACTTCCTTATAAAAAAGCGTCTAGTGAAGAAGCTTTAACTCCGAAAAGGACGTAGGGGACACGTATTTTGTCAAATCAGCTGCAGATAAAGACAGTGTTTCGGCAAACTTCGAACTACCATCTACAATACAAAATTTCATCTTTTTTCCTTCTTATTAGGTCAGTGTTTTACGGCACTCGCAACTGCATAAGGTCTTACGAGTGCGCGGGACACATTAAACATTACATTTCAGTTGGTAGGAAATTTTGAATTTTGCTCGGGTGACGGCCGGACTCTACTCTTTACGATTTTAGATTACCAAGAGATCTCTAACGTGCGCAATTTGCACACGGACCCACAGAGATTTTTCCCCTTTATCCGAGAAGGCTAGGTGTTAGTTCTTACCTACCATAAGATCAGGGGTGTGGCTGGAAGACATCAGTAAGAAGGAACCAAGAAGAGGCAGTAGAAAGGCTCCAGAATCTCTAACTTACATATTATTTCATAGTGTGCATGATACTGACTGCCTTTTAAGTTTCAGATTAAGAAATCCGAAATTAAAGAATTGTCTGAGTAAATAAAGTATTCTTGCTTTTTTTCTACGCTAAATTAGCGCTTCTCAAAGCGTTATCGGATTATAAAAAATATTGGGTGTCTACTGTTTTAGTTTTAGCAAGATTTTACTGCGCTTGCAACACATTAAGGTCATATATGTCCAAAAGATTAAAGGTGTAACAAGAGAAAAATAAACACGAAATAAGAAGTTAATGAGAAGAGGTTTATATTATAAGGACGATAGATGTTTGATAGGAAAGAAGGGGCTAACCACACCAGAGCACCTGCAAACTACCCAACGTGTGTGTTTTCAGTGTGTACATATTCCCACTGTGAACACCGGTTTGAGAGACAATAAATCGTGTTGAGTAAACACGAGGGGAAGCTGTGACTTACGTAAGAACGCTGTCCTGTTGATTTATTGCTCCCTTGTAAAAGAAACACTGGGCGTAAAAAACAACAACCCCCCC